GTCAACGACCTCCCGGCCTGCCCTTGCGCCTACCCCACGGAAGTGGCCTACAGCACCGCCGACATCTACGACCGGATCAAGCGGAAGAACTTCCGCTGGAAGGACGCCAGTGGGCCGAAGGAGAAGCTGGAGATCTACAAGCCCACCGCCCGCTACTGCATCCGCTCCATGCTGTCCCTGGAGAGCACCACCCTGGCGGCGCAGCACTGCTGCTACGACGACAGTATGCAGCTCATCACGCGGGGGAAGGGGGCCGGGACGCCCAACCTGATCAGCATCGAGTTCTCGGCGGAGCTCCACTACAAAGTGGATGTCTTGCCCTGGATCATCTGCAAAGGGGACTGGAGCCGGTACAACGAAGCCCGCCCGCCCAACAACGGGCAGAAATGTACAGAGAACCCTTCAGAGGGGGACTTTTACAAACAGTTCCAGGAGGCGAGGGAATACTGAGAAGACCTGCCGGCCGCTTTCAAACACAACGGCGCATTCAGGAGTGAGGGGGGCGTGGCAGCAGAGGGGCGTGGCGCAAAAATCGAATAAGCTCTCGGGCAATGGAATCCGCCGGTTTTTCGAGTCATTGTATATATTTTGTATAGGGTACACATTTTTATAAGGGCGTTTTCTATATGTGTGTGTGTGTGCGCGCGCACACACAAACTTCATATGGCCCTCCTTCCGAACAGACCTGCAGTTGTCTCGACAGGTCCACGATGGCAAAAGTGCATTCGGCCTCAGAAGAAGCCGTCCCATCTAGGGAAAAAACCACGCTCTGTCGGAGGCTGGATTATGATCCCTTGTCTGTAAGTCAGACCGAAGACCTGGATCCCCTAGAAAAAGCCAAAGAGTAGCCCAAAGAATTGGATCTCAAGAGTCAGGTTCTCAAATGCAGTTGTCCCCCACCCCCCGCCCCGCCCCAATTCATTTGACTTGAGCTTCAGGGAGTGGAAAGGCCATCCAGACTGGACCGTATCACACACGGAGAGCCAGTTTGGTGTCGTGGTTAAGTGCGCGGACTCTAATCTGGGAGAACCGGGTTTGATTCCCCGCTCCTTCACTTGCACCTGGCTGGATGACCTTGGGCAAGCCATAGTTCTGGCAAGAGCTGTCCTTGAAAAGAGACGTTTCTGCCAGAGCTCTCTCGGCCCCACCTGCCTCCCAGGGTGTCTGTTGTGGGGAGGGGGAGGGAAAGGAGTTTGTAAGCCGCTCTGAGACTTCGAGTGAAGGGCATAACCCTCCAGGCATAAATCCAGTCTCCTCCTCCTCCTCTTCTTCTTCTTCTTCCTCCTCCTCCTCCTCTTCTTCTTATTCTTCTTCTTCCTCCTCCTCCTCTTCTTCTTCTTCTACTGAATCCCGTCATCGATCCAAGGCCAGTCTTGTCTACTCAGTCTGGCAGCAGCTCTCCAGGGTCTCAGGCAGAGACACGTCTTTTCCACATTGCCTACGGCCTGGTGATTTTTACTGGAGATGCCGGGGTTTGAACCTGGGACCTTCGGCATGCCGAGCAGAGGCTCTGGCCCTGAACTATGGCCCTTCATTTAGGGCCGTATTTGACAGCACAGTCTCTGCTCTTAGGATGTCTACCGGACAGAAGTTATTATCAGGTGACCTTTGCTTATGCAAGAGGTGGGCTCCCGTTGGGGTCAAGAGGCGTGGCTTCACACCGACTTCCACAAGCAAAGCCAGCCCTCTCTGCAACGCTACCCCCCTCGTTCCAGCGCCCCTTTTCTAGAAAAGCTCGTAAGTATGTCTGGGACACTTGTACGAAGTCGAGGGAGGACAGAATGTTACCAAGCGAGGTTCTGAACGTAAATTATTTAATACAAATGCAGCTGTTAATCCTTATAATTTCCTTAGAGATGTATCTATAAATATATATATATTAATGAAAATATTTAGACATATTTAAGAGAAAATTATTTTTAAGGTGGGGGGGGAGGATGGTAATTATTTGAGCGGAAGAAGAAGCGGGTAAATTGAGCGGACCGACTAAAACAATGCCCTCTTCGTTCGCATTCAGGGGCACACGCAATATGCTCCCTCTAAGCTGTGGAGTCTTGTGAGCAAAAATTCTACTTTGTGAGCTCCTGGCATTAAAGTTGTGAGCAAGCGATCTGGCTACTGCCTAAATTAGTTTGCTCTGGAGCCATCCTTCCTGAGCTAAGACAAAAACATGTGAGCCGGAGGCTAAAAAACTGTAGGCTAGCTCACACTAACTCAGCTTAGAGGGAACATTGGTCACACATGCCTTGCATTTTACCTGGCGTGTGGCTAGTTACAGAGAGCTCTGAGAAGCTCTCAGGCACGTGTCCCCAACGTGGTGCCTCTGGGCACCCGCCAATGCCTTTCCTGGTGCCCGTCAGGCATTTTTAGAAAGTGGGCGGGGTCCTTGCCCACCAGGGCTTCTGATTGGCCATTGTAGATTTGATTGGCTGTGTGGATTTGGGGGGAGGGTTAAAAGCTCCTTTGGCAGTAGCTGCCACCGCAGCACACAGGGACCGAAGGTAAATTGTGTGTATGCCGCAACATGTTTTTTAAGCAAAATGTGCATTTTAAAAGGCATCAATAAACAGAACTTCTGTCTGAAGTGGTCAGAGTGGCTGTCAGAGTTATGCATAACCTCATTCCTGGACACTTTGCAGTTAGCTCTCCCTTCCGCGGCAGCCGTTTTGTGGTTGTACCCACCGCCCCGTGCCACCGTTCCAAAGGTGCCCACGATGTCAGGAAGGTGAGGGATCCCTACTCTAAAGAGACGGCCGGAACTAAGGGGGGAGGGTGTCTCTTGTTTGTGCCACCTTCCAAAGAGTAAACCTAGAAACACTTTGGCCAGATGCTTTTAAATGTATTCCAATGGCCGGTTCACGTGATAGGGTGGCTCCTAGCCAGGGGCGTAGGCAGAAAATTTTGGGTGGTGGGGCAGGGGGGGAGAGCCGTCCTCCCCCCTATCGCCCTCATGACTCACGTAGACGAGGAAGAGGACTCAGTCAGCTCAGCCTTTTGAACACGGAAGAGGCACCAGGAGGAGGAGCAGACGGCAGCCTTCCGCCCCCTCATTGGCTACGGCTTGGGTGGAGCTCACAGCAGAGGGGGCGTGGCCCCACCCCACGGTAGCTATGCCCCTGATCCTAGCCCCTGCTTCCCCCGCTCCACTGAGGATAGTTTGAACCCTTCGTCCCACTTAACAGCCCCTTAAGTTGGAAGCAGGTTCCTTGGGCTTGAGGAAAGCATTTCGGGGGATGGTTGGATCCACCCCATGACATTTGTAGGCACACTTCTATGAAAGTAAATGCGCAATTGATGAATAACATGGACTGTTCAGCTACCTTTGTCCGGGAACCGGCTGACCAACCTTGGTAGAACCCTACACAATAAGGTCGCCAGGTTGCCCCTGGCTACCAGCAAGTGATGGAGGGGTGGAGTTGCCAGATTCAGGCTGGGAAACTCTTGGAGATTTGGAAATGGAGGCTGGGGAGGGCAGGGACCTCAGTGGGGTACAGTGCCCCAGAGTCCACCTTCCAAAGCAGCCATTTTTTCCAGGGGAACTGACGATCTCTGTCGTCTGGAGATGAGCTGTGATGCCGGGGGATCTCTAGGTCCTATATGGAGGCTGGCACCCCTACCGCGCAACCAGTCTTCCCTCTAAGCCCCACAGTGTTGTGAGCAAAAATTCTACCTTGTGAGCAAACAAAAGCTAATAGCGTTGAAGTTGTGAGCGAATCTACGTGTGACTATCGCATAAATTAGTTTTTTAGAAGCTTATTTCCATAACCTTGCAAAAATCTCAGAATGAATTCGTTTAAACTATATTTTAAGAATAAGTTAGACATCAGAATTCGATGTGCCCCAGAAGGAGGTGCCCCCATCCTCCATTGTTTCCAGTGGAGGGGGGGGAAATGCTTGTGAGCTGGAAGCGAAAATCCCTGATCAGCCTGCTAAAACATTGTGTGCCAGCGCCTCCTAGCACAGCTTAGAGGGAACACTGCACACAGCGATGGTGTGTAATGGCCCAACGTGATCGGTTTAGAATTGCACTGCGACTTTCACGCCTGGTTTAGATTATCCAGGAATAACCTCAGTTATTGGATGTTCAAGGCCGCCTTCTGATTGCTGGTCAATGTAATACATCCTTCTCTTGGTGGCAGCGCTGAATTCTTCTCCATGGTGCTTGATTGGGTAGAGGGACGGCCATTCTCTTTGTGCTACAGAACAAGGGCAAACTCTAATACAGGGTGTGAGGTTCTTGCTTATAGGGGAAACGGTTTTACCTTTAAACGCTTTCTGAGTACATAAACTTGGTAGTTTTATGCTGCCACCAGGAATTAAAAATTCCAAATCTCTCTCTTTTGGTAGTATGACCTAGGGTCTGGGCACTTCAGAGGACTATGTGGCCCGGAGGAAGTACTGTGCTGATTTCTGGGATAAGTTTAAACAAAAAATGATTTATTTAATAAAGAACAAAATATGTTTCTGGTTATTTTGAACTGTTGCTGAAGAAAGGAACTTATAACTGGCAAAGCTTGGTGCCACAAACAGTCTCTCAAACTCCAAACTCCACTCTGACAGGCTTATACACTCAGTAGATTCTCTCTCTCATATATATATATATAGCCACACAGGCTGAACTCTTTGTTTTATTCACACTGAATAGAATCAACTCTCTTAGCCACACAGACTAAACTGTTTGTCTTATTCACACAGAATTAGACTCAAACTCCCACAGTCACACAGACTATGCTCACTCTCTCCAAACTTCACACACAGAATCACCTCATAGAGACATCCCTCCTCCCACACTCTCAGTCATCAGCCAATCACAATACACTTGTCTCCCTCTGTCACTCTTCTTATATTACTGCAGTCAAACTAAACATTTAAAGGAACACACACACCAAAACATAGAATAATTACAGGGGGCTTGGAGCACTTAAAGCTTATTGCAGAAAGTATGTGTAAATGCTCTGAGCTCTGTGTCAAGCCTTATGTCTGTGACGGGATAAGAATACGGCTGCATCCAGTACCAGATGCGCAGTGCTGCCATAGACTTCGGTCATGTTGTTGTTCAGTCGCACAGTCGAGTTCGACTCTTCGCGACCCCATGGACAAGATCATGCCAGGCTTCGGTCATAGGGAACCATTTAAAACAGCCTCTGTGAGCTGCCATTATCAGCTCTTACCTGGAAGAATACGCTGTAAAGAGATCTGATTTTTTTTAAAAAAATTCCTGTTACGAATTCTGCCTCCCATCAAGCCTGTACACAAAATAAACGCGCGGTCTTACGCACACGCCCCCTCATTTCTTAAACAGCGTCTCTGCATAAGTGAAGGGAAAAGGCACAGGGAGTTTACGCATTCTTTAAACTGAACCACGTCGTGTTTTCCGTAGTGTGTTTATCAAAAGGGAAGATAACAACATGGATCTGGAAAGTTTCAACGGCACGCAAGAGGAGAGATCGTCTTCTATAAAGGCTTGAGCATGTTCCATGGAGCAGGAACAAAGGCGTCCGACACGGGTTTATAAATAAAGCCAGGACAAAACATCTGTTCAGATGCATTCTCATTAGAGGGAAGACATGAAACGTGGAAGGAAAATAGAACACGGAGCGTAGCTCAGTGAAGAAAGCCAGAGCGGGTGAAGGAGGGACATGACTATCCTGAGGCCCACCCACTGCTTGTACCTTTCGGTAGACTAGTTAAGGGCTGCGGTCACACACACTAAATAATCCACTTTCCAACTGGATTTTGCCAGTTCACACAGTAAAAATCCAGATTGAAAGTGGATTATTTAGTGCAGGGGTGTCGAACTCTTTTGTTATGACGGCCGGGTCTGACATAAATGAGACCTTGTTGGGCCGGGCCAGGTGTGTCATCAAAGGTAATGAACTGGGACAAAAGGGGGGGAGGGGGAAACTGAACCTGGGATCCAGATCCTGAAAAGGTTAGTCAAATAGAAAAGAGGGCCAGCGATAAAAGCTTAATATATCTATAGTATATAAAAAGATTATTTATTTCTTT